AATATATCATTTCAATATGACATAGCAGGGAATATATCATTTCAATATGATACAGTTATGTCATTTACACCATCACAGTGGTAATTGAATATCAGATTTGATGATCTGTGGATGTACTGGACTATAGGCAAGTTGCTATGAAATGTGCTTTTTAGTGGAACAGATTAGTGTCCTCAGCCATATTATAATACAAGGATTGTCACTGAATTCTTGTCATTTGAACCTCCATAAAATGTTACAAATAATACAAATTGACAACAAACACCGTGATAAAAAATGAGCCTTGGGGAACATCAGTTGCTATGGTATAAAATCCAAACATTGATAATGCAATAGAAAAAAAAATTGGTGAAATGGGTTGTTGTCATGACAACAATACCGACACATTGTTCCATTATGAATGATTAAGCTTATTGAGTGTTTGATTTTTTCAAAGGATTTTTTAAAATTCTGTCATATGCTAGTAAGATTAGAATTATGTGTATCATGTGATCAAATGCTTTTATTTATTGATAGTTTTGATGATTCATCAACAATTCGTGTGGAATATCACGAGTTCCCATTTCTTTCATATTTTGTAATATGTATAGAGTAATTACCAAAAAAATTAATGATTTTTAAAACCATTATACCTAATTCTGTGATTGATTACAATAATATAATATTGATATTAATGTCTGTATTGATGTCTGTATTTTCAAATGAATTTGTTGTATTTTATTTGTGTTCATATAAATTGTGTTGCCTTTTCACACAGGAATTTATGCAAATTAGGGACAGTTTCACAGAAATGCCAAAAGACAAAATTGAACAAATAATAGTAATTATATTTACACTGTACATAATTATATGAGGTCATTACGAGAATAGCATAAAATATACACAAAGGCATTACACTGATTATATCAACTGACACCTAGTAAAGGCCAGTATGACCTTGTCCTGCATATGATAACCTTGTGATGACATTAGTATTTGTTGCTATAGCACTTCTGCATTCAATGTAAACTAAAGAAACCAATGAGTTCTGATATGTTTTTGCAATGAGTGCTAATATGACTTTCTATGGAACAACAAATTCTATGTTTTTTGTATCAGAGGTACCTCTGGTAATATATAATATTTAATTTTTTTAATGTGATAGAAGGGCAAATATATAAATAAATATGAGAGAGTCATCATTAAAATGTAAGAAATTAATACATGAAATGTTTCCCTAATAAAATAAAAAAATGTAATTTATTTCTATTGTTGAAGAATCAGGAATAAACATAAATAACCAAATTTCAGTTAGAATGAATGGTGGCCCTTGTTGCCATGGCTACAGTCACTTTTTGAGATGTGATTCACCTTTTTCTAGCATATATAGAGACAATTTATGTGATGGTTGTCTATGTGTAAAATGATAAAAAACAAATAGTAAGACGAACAATATTTCTAGGAATACTAAATGTAAATGAGTGTGAAAGAAACGTTGTTTGACTCAGAGTGTTGCTGAGTATGTATGGTTCTATATTCTAACATACAAATGTACATCACCCATTTCCAAAAACAAACAAATCTGTTGCTATAGGGTCACAAATTGATTGCAAAAAATGTGAGAAGACAAATGCATCTCTCTGAGAGTCTCTTTTTTACAGGTATGAATTCTAGATAAGTTGTTCAATATTAGCCTCATGTGCAATTCTTAAATTAATGACGATACAAGACTAATGTGATTGACTAGAACAAATATGCAAAAGATTTCATTAAAGAAGGCTGAATAAAAAGTGATGATACCTGAACTTTTTTTTCCAGGGAAACAATAATGTGATTCCCTCATAACGTTTAATAATGTTGTCAGCCATTTTAAATTGAAAATTTATCAAAAATACATAAAATTTTGGGTTCATAATTCGGAATTATTCGGAATTGTTCGCAGAATTCCTGTAAAAAAAATGTTTTACTGTGTCAAATCATTAACAAATTTGGCTTAATTCCCTCAGACAGATTAGCATGTGGTGATGAATGTGTACTCAGTAATTTCATCATTGATTGTCCCAATTTTCATTGGTGTTAAATGAAGCATGAAATTAATCTATGAATGAGAAATGGTTTCAGTGATAACAATTCATGTCTTAGTAACTCATTTAAATTTAGGTATGTGTAAGTTTTGCTATTTTGTTTGCTGTCCATCGTTTACTCAACAGCATTTTATTCCTACGGCTCAGCCAGCAAAAACGGCTGTGTATACGCATTCGACTTGAGCCGCCTCGAGCCAAGTTTGGCGCCAATAAACTCCGATAGGATAGAAATCACGCCCTCAATCATCTTCTTTCTCATTTCAATTATGGAAGAGACAACTTCGTTTGCAATTTCGCATTTGACAAAAACTTGATTGAACTTGGGCTGATCTTGGCTCTCATTCGGCCCAACCATATAAACGCATTGCAGATAATCTCCTGTTAATCTGTGGGAGGAGCAGTAGTTTGGTTTTGATAGAATGCTGTTTTGTAAATGTAGCAAATATCACAAAACCCCACACTATCTACCGTATCATTACTAATCTGTCGTTATCGCTCACATCCAAATATTATATAATCATATTTCACTCACTTGGTTTAAAATAAAATCTGATCAACATCTGATTATAGTGTAGCTAGGATAGATTCCATGACAACAATATAATTAGTACTGGTATCTATAATTTAGGTGTAATTTTCTGTTTCGTTTTCACTAAATCTATTTTTAGAACCATGTTGCCAGTGTACCAGATTTGAACTGTGGAATATCATTTGGTCGGCAACGAAATTTGAACTTTTTGTTCTTGTAGATAAATAAATTAACTATTAACAATACATGTATTTATTTCAACACTGAATTT